TTAACCCCGACTAATAATTTAGGTAAATATTATAATTAATCCCTTTAAACTTTATTAAAATTTATTTTAGTCCCATATTAATATTTAGGGTTAAATTACACTTTTAATGTATATACTACATAATATTTATAATTATGGCCATTAATTGTTTATGTTTTATAATTTAATAATTGACTTTTATATAATTTTAATTTTGACCATAAGTTTTATATATCTTACAATTTAATTCTATAATTTTAATTTCTTTTATATTTTAGTTATTTGCAATATTATTTCCTTATTATTTTTTATATATGTTTAAATTATTATGTTCATTATTATTTTATCATTACTTAGTCATATAGATATATATATATATATATAATAAATAATATTTATTTATTTATTTTATTTATTATCAAAATCCTATTTATAAATTTAAATACTTTTAAATTATTTTAAGCATGTTTTAATATATTTATCAATATTAAGAAAGGACAGTCTTAAAGCAACTGGATGTCCATTTTCTAATATTTTTAAACAAATATTTTACTTTATATATTGTAATTATTTTTTAAATGTTTTAATATTTATTTATTTAATGTTAAGAAAAGAGCTGTCTTAAAGTACCTAGAAGCTCTTTTCTGATATTTCTAAATAAATAAATATCTTATTAATATATTTTCATAAAATTATAAATTTGAAATAACAATATTATAAATTAAATACATCTTTGAATATTTAAATTTCTGATAATAGAGACAATTTATAATTGATAAAGTACTGATTTTGGGCATTTTAGGGGTGTTAATCCTTCCCTAAACATAATCGATCACGAATCCTATTTTACTAAAAAATTTTGTTATAAGCAGATCAGTTTTATCCTTTAAATTATGTTTTATTCAAAACTATTTTAAAATATTATTTTTAGGTATTTGACCTACCTAACCTAAAAATGTCAATGGCGACTCCCAAAATATTTTTTTAAATTAAAATCATTTATTTTATTTTTCCCGCCAAATAAAAAAATTCGTACCCGGACGAAAATCGGTTACGACAGGACCCTTTGTCTCATTTCTTATTTCTTTTTTGCACGCAAGGTCTTTCTGCCTTGCTTCATAGTTCACAATATCAGGGGAGATTAATGGTATTCGTACAAGTCATAATGATCCTGGGATTACACATCTTCTGTTTGCTATTGATAGTATTATTTTTATCAAGAACACAATTCAGAAAGCTGAGCAAGTTAAAGAAGCTCCGCATGTTTATCTTTCTTCTAGGCAGAAGGTGAGCCATGTAAAAATGTCTTGTATTTCACTCTGAGTACTATTCACTCTTCGTCAGTAGATATCGTCAATTCTTGACATTGATGAGGTTGATGATCTTGGTCATTATCTTGGTATGCCTCTTCATATTGGAAAGAACAAGATTAACTTCTTTGGGTATCTTAAGGACAGAGTGCACAACATAATTGAGGAATAGACTAAACAACTTATTTCCTATGGTGGTAGGGAGATTTTCCTTAAGGTCATAGCCCAAGCCTTCCTCATTATGTGATATCGTGCTATCTTCTGTTTGGTTGTTTGGTTAATAACATGGTTAGTGCTATGCAACATTATTGGTGGTCTGGTGATGTTTCTAAGCGTGGTTAATCTCTTGTTGCATGAAAGACCATGTGTAAACCTAAACCTGAGGGTGGTTTAGGTTTCCGAGATCTTCATAACTTTAACATGGCTCTCTTGGTAAACAAATTTGGTGCATTATTAAAGACCCAGATAGTTTGGCTGCTCGTGTTTATCGTGTGAAATATTTTTTGAATAGGGACATTTTGAATGTCACCCTTAGAGATAAAAGTTCATTTGTGTGGAAAGGGCTTCATCAAACTCTTCATGAGTTGAATGATGGTCTGTTTTTTAGGGTTGATATTGAAAGTTGTAGGAGGCTTCATCGTGATATATGGGGTGGCACTAAATTTGTGTCGTTAACAGAGAGTTATATTGATTTTAATGATAATCCTATTCATTGTAACGAATTTATGATGCCTGTAACTAATCTTTGGAATAAATGTTTAATTCGTAGGGTTTTCACTGCTGAGGATGCAATGCAGGTGCTGAATGTATCCATCGCCCTTTACAATGAGGAAGTTATTATTTGGGGTTATCATGACTCTAGGGTGTATTCTGTGCGCTCTAGATATTTGTGGATGCAATAACGTTTTCATGAACATGATCGTAGGTCTAAGGTGTGGAAGATCATTGCGAAGATCAATATAATTCATAAAATCTGGGTCTTTGCGTGGAAAGTTGCTCATAATGCCTTGCTGTGGGTAGTTGTCTCAAAGTGGCTGGCTTATCTAATGGCGTTTGTCCAATGTGTTCCGCTTCTGAAGAAACCACATTTCATGTTGTTCGTAGTTATCCAAGAATGCAGGAAGCACTTCATTTTACTGAGCTACTTGCTCATATTTTTCTTAGTTCCACGAATGCTCTGTTGCTTTGGATGGAGGAAGTTTTATCCACTCTTGGGCCTGATCATTTTGTTGGGTTTTGACCATTTGTTAGAATATTTGGAATAACATGAATAACTTTGTTCGTAATGACAGGTTGCAACCGCCATGGATTTTGGTTACGAATGCTAGGATTCTTCATGAGGATTATATGGATGCGATTACTCAAAAGAAGGTGAAGCAACAAACTAGAGGCATGGTGGATGGTGTGCGAGCTCGTATGAATCCTTTGATCGTTGGAAAAGCTCGTATGAGTTGGGCTCTTAGAACTGGTGATTCTTTTTTTATTCGGTTTATTCCGATATCATTTCTAGAGACATTTTAAATGATTTACTTACTTCTTGATTTATGATAGTTGAGTACTCTTTTCCCCTTGTTAGGATTTAGAAGAGATTTTTAATAAGGCCCATTGGTTTTCAAAAAATATATAAATATGTTATAGCAATTTGGTGTAGGTTTCGGTGTCTTATAGTGAGTTTACATATATTGATGTCCTTGGTGTGATGTGACAAGTGTTGAAATTGTCAAATAAATAATCTTAATTTCTAATCAATACTAAAAAGTAGTATAAAGAAGTAGGTCCATCCAAGGACTAAAAAAATTGACAATGTTGTTTCCTAGTTTGAGTAAACTGTCAAAATAAAAAAAAAGGTTTTAGAAACAATAAAAATGATGAGGTAAAAATAATAAACGAAATGATGAATGGTAAATAAAGGTAAAAAATGGTAAAAAGAATTCAATTGTGATAGTTTAACCATTGACTTTGCAGCTAACTCTTCTCTCTTGTTAACCGAAATTTCCAGCTCTATCTCTTAAATTCGGTCATTGTTGGTCTAACCACATTTATCATCGTTAGCACTAATATAATTTTGGTTCTAAAAGATCTCAACTTGATTTATAACGTCTCTCTGAGAATCAAACTTGATCTTGATTTTCCTCAGTAGACCACCACTGAGTTTGTTCACGGGAAGTCGAATTACGACCAACTGATCCAACTTCCAAATCATAAGTCAAAATACCTTTCAAATCAACATTGAGTTAAAGATGTAGTAACTTTTAAAGGGATGGTCGATTGCCACTCCTAGTTTTCAAAGAATCGAAGAATACTATCCAAAGATATGAAATGAAAAAATCAATTCTCATAACTTAGAATTGAATCATCGCAAAATTTTAGACTAAGTAAAAGTTTAGCTAAGCATGGATTGGATCATGTTTAGTATTTTGTTATCTTCGATAACAAAAAAAGAAAATAAAACTTCTATAAAAATAACCAAAGAAATAACCAATTCAAATTATTTTTTAATGTTGAACCTAAATGGGTATTTAAACCCGAGGATCCTAAAAGTATAAAACAACTAAATCCCTAAAAAAATAAGATAAAGATAAAAATATTTAAACTCATGGACTAAATTTAAATCCAAATGTTTATCATAAAAAATAAAGATAAATATTTAAATCCTGTGGCTCCAGATGAATTATGTTTTATCTCCTGGATAACCTTATCTTTATCTCTCAGACTTTTAGATTATCCTGAATTTGACTTCAAGATAATGTTGGCTCACATTCTAGAAGTTATTGATCGAATCATCAGAATTTGTTGTGTTAGACTCATATCATGTCATACCCTGGGTCCTGCCCATGACTCTTGCCACGAATTTCAGTGAACTCCAAACTTTGCCTTCAACTGACGATCTTGGGTTGATTAATCCAATGAAATTCCTACTTAAAATAAACCCAAAATGTGACAAATTAGTAGTATTTAAATGGTAAAATGAGAAATAAAATATACTAAAAACATGCAACATTCTACATATATCAAGATGTACAATTGATGCACTTATGTCTATATATATGCAACACTCTACATATATAAAGATGTACATTTGATGCACTTTTATATATATATATATATATATATATATATATATATATATATATATATATATATAGATGGGATTTTGTTCAACGCATATCCTTCTTGCAAATTTTAGGCTTATCTTGGAATATCGTTCTTGCATATCCTTCAGTTCATTTTGCATTGATTCGTTTCTTTCCCTTAATGATGCTAGTTCAGCAATCAATTCATTCCGGTTATCGTCTTTATCGACAATAGATGTCTTTGGTTCTTTCTCCGAAAAATTGTCACCATTGCTGCAGATAAGATATCAATAGGAGTAATTGTTACTTTCCTCTTTTCTTTGGTTTCTTCAACGCTCTTCATAGTATTTATGCCCTCAACTAACTATTACAAGAAGAATAGTGGAAAAGGTGCGAAAAATGGGACTCGGAAACTAAGGTTCTATATATTCAAAATTTACCTTTTCAAAAAAGGCTCTGAGGTAATTTCATTTGATGTATCCATAGAATCTTTCCACGCCTGCATTTTGAATTCATTTAAAAGAAAATATAAGTCAAAGCTAGATGTAAAATTGTAGTTGACAATGAAAATGAAATGGGACTGCAAAGTAAACCAGCCCTTAGGTATAAGAACACCCCATTGAACCGTTCTACTCAATCAGACAATAGTTAGGGTCAAGACCATTAATTCTTGATGCCATAAAAATGTTGAAACTTGAAACCTCTTATGTGAGGATCCTTTTAAATATTTGTTCATTAATATTGCAGATTTTCCTTTAAATGAGTCCTTTAGCTTCTTTCCGATCATAGTATAATGTTTCTGACCTTCTGAAGTTGGTATTTGCAGAAACTGGTGCTGTGCACATCGAGTTCTTCTACTCTGCTTTCTAACTCGTCAATTTCCTTATGAAGATTCTTCTCCATTTCCAGAAAGACATTTTCTGATGTTTCTAAAGCAATTTCCTTTGACTTTATTTGTCCCCGCTATGAGAAAAAGAAATCACTATGAACAAAAATTATCCTTTTCCATACTCTGCTCCAGAATAATAAGGAAGAAAAAGAATAAAAGGGAAATTTTGATCTCAGTAAGGACCAAGAAATATCATGATAAATTTGTTGCTTCTTACTGAATCTCCATTTTGTTACTAGAAAAGCAGATGTTAAACCATTTGCAACAAACAGTTTCAAAGAGGAACTTGATTTTAGATAAAACTCAAATATGGAAAATTACCTCAAGTAACATTAGTTTCTCCCCTAGGCTTGCCACTTCTGTAGGACTGCAAGATACCAAGGGCGATTTTTCATTTTCTAATGGAGTTTTTGTTCCGTCAGAAACTGCTGCTCTTTCATAGCTCTCTCTCACCGTCTTTTCCATGCTAGTAATGTCATATTCCTTCTTAAAGTCATCCTTCAATTTAATTACTTGCTTTCTGAGTTTTTGTTTCTCTACTTCATCCTCAAACATAGACTTTCTCAATTTGGTGCATTGAGTTTTGAGGGTGTTCAGCTCTGATTGCAGGGATTTGGTTGCAACTTCTTTTTCATCCTTCAAATGCTCCATTCTTTGAAATTCCTCCAGTGACTCAGTTGATTCCTTTTTCATCAAAGCAATTGTACACACCAACTCATTTCTTTCTAAATTTCCTCTTTGATTTAGCACTTCAACTTCTCCAGCAAATGCTTTAGCGTCTTCCAACTCCAGTCCCAACTCTTCTACCAATTGAGCTTGTTCATGGAGGCATTTTTTTCCCATAGTCAGCTTGTCGATCTCAACTTTTAGGTTGCGGATCACCTGGGAAAAAGCCCCACTAACTTCTTCCTCATGCTTCTTTTGATGTTCAAGCTGCTTAGATTTGTCATCAATTTCCTCCAACATCTGTTCTATCTGGTTTGATTTTAAATTTACTTGATTGGAAAGGTTACAGAGTTTTGTCTCATAGTTTTCCGTAACTGATTGGAGCTCTTCTTTAGCTTTCTTGAGCAATTCTTCTAGCTCATTTTTCTGCAAGCATAGTTCACTAGCTTCTGTTAGAGCTTTTGTAACCGACTTCTCATTTGCATCAAGTGTAAAGGCCATCTTCATATAGAGACTTTTAAATTCCTCCTGCAGACTTTCAGCTGCATTAGCATTCTTCCATCTTGTCATTCGTAAGGCTTCCTGAGCTAGGATAGCTCTTTGCTCCTGATCAACTTTGGCTTGTATGATAGATTCTAGATCCATTTTGAATACTTGTGTCTGTTTCTCCAACTCTTCCTCCAAGCTTTTGATGCGGGTTTCTAATTTGTTTATGGTAATTAAGGACTGAGAGAATGCTTTAGATTGCTTGTTGAGTTCACATTCCAAGCACTCAATTTGGGTCTGAAGTTCATTTATGTTAGCAAAGGAAGATGGGCACTCATACTGCATATTCAGTTGATCTTGCAGTTGGCTTTGCTCTAATTTGTAGGACATGTCGTGATTTTCCTGCTTCAGTATCTCATATTCAAGTGCTAGCTGCTCCATTTGTGCTTCAAGCTCATCTTTATCTCTCTTGTAGGTCTCTATCTCTTTGTAGAACTCCATGATCTTTTGTACAAGGAAAGAGGTTTCCTTGTCATCTTTGTGCGCTTTAACAAGTTGTTCCAATTCCCTCTGCCCATCATCCTCATCTGAGTGACATCCTGATATGGTTACTCCCATTTCCTCAGCACTACCATTGGATCCTGATTTCTTGGGAGGATGGGGTACCTCCGTCTTCTTCGCATCCAATGTTTCTTCTAGGTCTCGTACGACAAACATCAACTCAGCATTTGATTCCTGTGGCTTCAGCAGTTGTAACTGAAGATTTGAATTCAAGGCCTTCTCGTAATTCAGTTCTTGTCTGATTTCTTCAATAAGAACCCATGGGTCTCCACTCTCAAACTCCAACCTGCTTTTTACTTTTGCATCATCTATTTGCTTCTCAAAGGCCTTCAGCTTCTCACACTCTAATTTGAGTGCATCTCTCTCTCTTTTCAAAGTAACAACTTCCCATGAGAGATCCGGTCCCCTTTTGCTCTCCTTTACTATTCGTTTTCTAAGAGCTTGCAATTCCATATCTGAAACATCCACTTGTCTGGTCAAAGCCTTGAGCTCGTTCTTGAGCCTTTCAATCTCATTATATGAACCATGTTGGGAGTTTTCTCGTGGAAAAGTGTCCTGTGAACTGTTAGAGTCATCAGTACTCGTTCCAAGATCAGAACCTGCTGACGACTCCTCGTAGGTTGCTGTTGAGGCAATTGATGTTGGTTTAGGAGTAAATGAGGTGTTATTCATAGATGACAAATACGGAGGGTCCTGATTGATGTCGTTTCTCATTCCAAGTTCTCTTGGAATGTCGAGTCCAAAGATGCTACCAGAACTTGAAACGGTAATATCAGATTCTCTCGATCCTCTGCGGTTCCCATGCAATTCAACATTGTTGGTGGCTTTGCTTGAAGGCACATCCTGTCAGACAGATGATAAACAAAGAAATAAGTGAAACATGCAAATCCTCTTTCAATCAACTTTTATATTAAGCGTGCATCAGGAGACCAAAAGTTAAGAGCATAAGAAAAGTCTGATTAACAGCAGCAACAAGAAAACCGAAAAACGAACGCTTTCTGTAAATGGGATAGGAGCCTTACTTCAATGGTATCGCTCTTAATACTTTCATCATCCTTCAAGCTACCGTCTCGCGTTTTAGTACTTGCATCTTCAATTTCTTCCACCTTTCTGCAATAATTTTCAAACAAATGCTCCAGACTCTGAAACAACATCCAATAACTATATGAAATCGATAGAAATTGACATGTCTTTACCTCTGATCAATATTTTCCTGCAGCATCTGTATTGAGACCTGATCAAATCCAACAGTTTGAATTCAATTTTAAACCATCAATATGAGAAAGAAACAAGAAAAATGCTACCAGTAAGTGTCCCTTAACACATAAATATGAGAGAGATACAGAGAGACTGAGAGTGCTAGAATACTAACATGCAAAATTGCTTTAGAGTTGGAATTCTTTAACGGAAGAGAAACGGTGCAAGTTTTAATTGCTTCAGAATAAGCAGCAAAATCAATTGAAGCTTCCCCAACCAAACCACCTTTTCCCAATCCCTACAACAAACATATAAAATATTCACTACATCACGGTACTCAAACCCAGGACCTTAAAAAATAAAAACAATCATATAAAATATTCACTACATTTGGGATGACATAGTAGTACTCAAACCCAAGACCTTAAATAATAACAACAAACATATAAAATATTCACTACATCCGGGGTGACATACACGGTACTCAAGTCCAAGATCTCAAAGAATAACAAAAAATATATAAAATATTCACTACATTTAGAGTGACATACGCGGTACTCAATTCCGAGACCTCAAAGAATAACTACAAATCACTTAACCACTAATGTCGTTTGGTTTGTGCCACAACATTTCATTTAAACACACACTTCCCATATAAAACAACATGAATTCATTCCTTCAATGAGAAAAAAGAAAGAATTCATCAATAAAATAAATAAATGTATATCTTACTGTTGATAAAATAAAATGGTAGATTATTTCATTGATCTTTCCTGTGTTTAGATCCCGAGAAAATTTAACGGTCTCGTAGACCGGATTTTCCCACTGACAATTACCATCTAGGACCGTCGCCTTTCCTAATTTGGTTCGCAGTTTGCCTCCATCGCCAAGGACCACTGATATCATCAATGCTTGCACATTCAATTGTGTAACCTAAATTATACATAAAACTATTAATACTTCAATATTCTTCAAATTATTCATTAAAATTACAAATATATATATATATATATATATATAAAAATAAAAATCAATTTTCTTTTTCAGTTTCAGCTGCATTTTCAGAGTAATTCAGCCGATAAAGAAAAATGAGGAAATAAATAAATTTACAGGAAAATGTTCGATGGATATGAATGTTTAAAATATAAAGAAGAATTTGAAAGAATGAGAGTACTTGAGTTGCATGTAACTGCAACTTGAACACGGCTTTGGTCCTGTTCTTGTCGCTCCTCCATCTCGCCGACTTAAACATCTCCGCCGCGAAACCCGCCGCAATTCGGGGACTCTCAGTCGAGGTCCGGAGAATCCCGCAGAAAATCCGTCATTCAATCGATCACTCGATCCGATGCCGAAAATCCAATCAGAATGCAAGTCCACGCGGGGAAACAGAGCCAGTCATACCGGTCTACACGTAGAGTTCAGCTAATCAGAAGCGAGTTGGTTCAGCGCTAATGGAACTGAGTCGGAGACGGAGTCTAGAACTCAGAAATAAAGAAGCCATGAAAGAGAGCAGATCTAAAGAAGAGCTCTTTCTATCATTCTCCTCTCTCCCTCTCGGCTCTCTATTTGCAAGGTTGTAAGTTGTAACAATGGCTCTGTTGGTGGAAAGAGATTGCACATATTTATGTAAAGAGAAAAAAAATGGAGAAGCTTCTTTGTGATTAAATAATTTTAATCTACAAACGGAGTCAGTTTAATATCGATTAAGTATATTTTCGGTTTGAATATTTGTAAAATTTTGTCGTGAAATTTATTTATCAATGTTAAATATAAAATTATAATTGATTCAAATTAATTAAGATGAAACTTTTAGCGGAAGGATAAAAAAAGTTAATCAATGTTTGATTAGAATTAATTATGTATTACGTGAAAATATGAGTTTTGTCCGTTTTGGCCAAAGGGAACAATAAGGAAACGTCATTGATTTGATTGTAATTCCCCATTTGTCAGTTTACCTTTTTGGCAAATATTCTGCCTTCTAAGACGAGGGTCAAACGGGTAGTCTGTGAGGAAAAAAGTTAAAGGGTAAATGTTAATTTACATCACTCAATTTTATTCTTACTTTTATTTTGGTCACTAAAACTTAAAAAAATGTTTAATTTAATTATTAAACTTTTGAATTATTATTGTTTTGTCCACTTTACCGTTAAATAACTAACCAAGTTACAACATGGCATACGATATCAAAATAATATCGTTTTAGAAAAGTCAACTTTATACCAAAATGACATCGTTTTGAATTCTTAAAAAACAATTTTTCATCATATTTTCTCTTGTTTTCTCTTTTGATCTTCTTTTCTTTCCCTCTAATTTCCTCTACATGTATCCACAATCTAGCCACCCGTCGACCACCACGATAGTTGTCAATGACAATTGATAAGTATAATTTTTTTTATCAAACTCGTTCCGTACTTTTAAATACAAATCTAGTGTTTGTTTAACTCAAAAACACTTCAAAACTCACGAATCTAGCGTTGAATATTTTTATTTGTTATTCTCTGATCTTCATCATTTACCATTAGATGGAGTCCGAGCAAAGGTATGTTGTTCACCGACCCAAGAGAGGCCTCTCCACATTAAGATCTTCAAATGGACGCTCTAATTGTCGCGGTGAAATTCAACCAATAGTCTCTCACATGAAACTTTGCTTGAAAATATTTTAGTGAAATGAAAATTTTGGCCTTGGATGATCATTTGACTAATGATCCTCCTGCTGATGAAACTCGATAGTCATGAATGAGAAAACTCCATACACTAAGGTAATTGGTGATTTTTTATTTTACGATTCTTATTAAGGAGAGGGGAAGAAGAATTTTAATGATAAAGTTTAAAAGTATTAACAAGTTTGGTGCTTTGTAAAATTAGATTGATCAGAGTGGTTGTGGATTGTCAATTGTGATCGGGGTAAATAAATAAAAAGAAATAAAAAAAAATGACATGCTTGGCTTTCATGTGAGAAAACAATAATCCATATCAACTAAAATTAGTTACCGTGTTGTTATTAATTTTAGGTTTTAGGGAATAAAATAAGAACAATTTAAAAATTTAGTGAATAAATTAAAAAAATTAAATTCTAAAGACTAAAATAAGAGTTAGAAGAAAGTTGGTAAGAATTAAAAAAAATTGAAATGTATAATGTAACCAAGAATATAATATAGGGTAAACTACACATTTAGTACTTAAACTATCAGTTTTGATCCGTTTTAATACTTAAACTTTTAACTTTTTCAAAACCATACATAACGTTTAATTTTGTTTCATTTTAGTGCCTTTCGTTTAAAACTTAACGTGTTTAGTACCTAAACTATCAGTTTTGGTCCGCTTTAGTACCTAAACTTTCAATTTTTTCCAAAACATAATGTTAAGTTTTTAATGGGAACTAATATGATTTGAAAAAAATTGAAAGTTTAGGTACTAAAACATATCAAAACAAGTAGTTTAGGTACTAAAGACATAGTTTATCCTAAAATATATTAATTGTTTTGGCGTGTAGCCTACTTGGTATCCGAAAATGAAGTTATATAATCGAATCTAAGAAATGAAGAGAGATCATTTTCACTACGTTAGTGCAAAATTTAAGTTAAAATACAAAAATTCTTAACTACTTTTTGTTTTATTAAAATGATATTTTTACATTTTAATTTGTACCTAAATAAGTTTTAAAATATCAACAATATAATCAATGGCTATTAAAACCCATTTTTGCATCTCAAAACCGAAGTTCAAACTATGTTTATACAGTCACCCTATGATAGAATTAGTCCAATATTATTGGGTAAAATTAATTAGCCCAATAAGGTAACTCAAAATTTATTTAGCATTCTACGACATTTATTTATAATGGAGGAAATCTTCATTTTCTTGTGGCAAGTTCCCCTGAAAATTATATCTATTGGGCTAGTCAAGTGAGACTCGTGGGTCGTATTTTTTGTTAGAAATAGAAGCTTCTAATATGTAAAAAAAAAATCAGAGATAGAAGGAACTCAAGAGAATTATACTGAACTGCTACACACTTTATTCACTGATCAATGCTGCCTTTAAACAGCCTAAATTCAAACAACTAATAGCTAGAAATTAGGAATCCCGCTACCGATAAACAATCGAAATTAAAGGAATAACAATAAGAAAATATTGACTAAACCACTAACAAATTATTTGCTAAAGACATGATCTCTTTAGCTAACTACTTAGACCCAATCAAAAGACCACATACACGTATAGCCTTAACAAACTCTCCCTTAAACCAAAGAGTTTGTAAATATTTTGTTTAACTATTATAGCTTCAAACTGATGGATCCTCTAAACTGCAGACACCAAGCAACCTTAACTTCTGAAATACGGCCATCTTTAAAGGTTTTATGAAAATATGAGAAACTTGGTCCTCACTCCTACAATAAATCAAATCAATGACTGTTATTTGTGAGATCTCTCAAATAATGATTGTCAAAATGATTTCTTTAAAAAAAATTTAATTTTAAGTAGTTTAAAAATTCTCGTCTCGATTAATTTGAGTTTCTTTTTTAAAGATCAAAATAAACATGGTTCGAGAAGTCGTCACCAATCTTTGATTAGGGTGTGATTGGGCACCCAATTTTTTTCATTTTAATAAAATTAATTTAAAAATTATTAAAACAACATTTTAAGGTTTGCGTACTAAAAATTTAGTTCGGGAGTCGATTACGCGTGGCGAAGGATTAGCACCTCCACAGCGTCCTAAATCGGTACCTAGTCGATTAATTAGTTGTCTCTGCAATGAATCTTACAATTTCGAATTTAATTTAAGATACCTTTTTAAACACATTCCTTGAATTTTAGGACGGAAAATGATAATATTTAATTATTTATTATCAAGAAGAAAAAGCCTCTTATGCCTTAAAGCAATCATTTCTTAATCCAATTGAAATAAGGAAATATTACTATTCCATTCGAAAGTTCATTAATAATTCAAATTTCAAATGCATGAATAATGATAAAAATAATGATTAATTAAACACGGCTTATCAATCCTTTTAGAAAGAAGAAGGATATTCGATTATTTAAAGACATCGAGTTCGGACCTTTTATAAGTTATAACGATCTTTTCTCGAAGAATTTAAATAGATGAATATTTCTTTTTCTCTCATCCCCAAATTTTAAGAGTAATTAAATTTTTAGGGTTTTTATTTAATGGGATACACTTTCTTTTTCAAATCATCGGAAGTGGCTTTCTCATATGTTAAGTGAGTCACTTCACAACAACCTTAAAATGAAAATGTATTACTCTTAGTCCAATTATTTGAATTGAGTCGAGTTATTCTTATGAGGGTATCATACAAATTGATCAAAATAAAACCTAAGCCTATATGTACAAACATATATACATGATATATAGATAGACAAAATAACACTATGATATTCATAAATAACTTAATATAATATACTACTTAATATACAATAGTTAATTATAAAGTATATATATATAGGTTATAAAACAAACTTTCTATATATATATATATATATATATATATATCATCTTAGGCAATTAAAATCATAATATACAATAGATTTTGAAATATGATAGATAATATGCATTACATACTAAAAATATGTGATAATTAAAACAATTGAATACTAATAAAATAATATAAATATATTTTACACATATATACAAAAAGTTTTATAAACAAATATATGTATACGACACTATATAATATATTTAATATATAATATTTAAAAAGTTAAAAATATCTTTAAAAATATATAATAAAGACATTTATAAAAAAAGTATAAGAACTAAAATGATTGAATAATAAATATAAGGGCTAAAGATATAAATAAACCATAACAACTCCAGAGTAAATTGAAAACAATGACATAAATGAATAAGGACCTAAATCTAAGAACTAAAGTGTAATTTATCGAAGCAAAACAAATTAAATTATAGCATAGCGAAGAACAAGAAATAAATAACGTAGCATAAAATAAAGACAAACACAAATATATAAAACAGATCAAAACAAAAGACATTAGAAATTAAGTTACATAAACAAAAAATTAAATGACTAAAATGCAAGTGCAAGAAATTAAAGAATAAAAATTAAAATAATCATAAAATAAAAGGGTTGAAAAGTAAATAATAGACAATACAAGCACTAAAATTGTAATAAATACATATATATTTAGGACCAAAATAAAAGTATTTAAAATTACATGCTAAAATTAAAATAAAAAACAAATAAGCTAAGGTGACCAAAATATAATATGCGTAAAATAAGAAGGTAGAATCAGAAACTCAAAAAAACTTTAAACATGGACTAAAATACAACTTCACAAACTTAGAGACTCCACTCGAGTAGTTTACCCACGAGCGAAAATGGTGGTTACCCTAGAGCCTAAAACAGCGTCGTTTTGGCTTTCACTTATATATCTCTTTTTAGCCCTTTAGAATCCCTAGCCCCATTATTTTCTCTCTTTAACCGCTCCTCTCTCTCTTCTCTCATTCTCTCTTCTCTCATTCTCTCTTTTTTTCAACCAAAAATGGGGAGAGATAAACTCTCCGGCCGCCATCAA